CAAAACCTGAGAATGTGAATGCAAGTTGTACTTAGACTAAAAGAAAAGTCAAATGCCAAAAAGCATATTAAGCTAACACTGCATTTGAAAGATTTTATGGGAAGAAAGAAAGATGAGTTGTGTGCCATGTAATCACGTCTCTATCCTCTTCACTCTGGATCCTTCTTTAGCCAAATCGATCATAAAAATGAATTAAAGTAAAATGTGGTTCTCATGCTGTGTCTACACTACATTGAGTGACGTGGATAATTTTTAAGGCCCCAGAAGAGACCTTCCTCCACTCTCCCTGCATGAGGACCAGAAGAAATCTTCTAACCATCATGTATACCCTGGAGGGCTTGAAGTCTACGTGATCACAAAGGATATAGGCTCTGGGAGCTGGAAAGGTCTTGGGGGGGGTCTTCAAAGCCCATCTCCTCCCTTTATAGGGCTGGAAAATTGAGGCTTTCGAAGTTCAAACAACAAGCTTAAGGCCACATCACAAGTCAGTGGCAGAGCCTGACAAGGATGCCTATTCTATTGTACTGTGCCAATTCTCAGCCTTCCTTCTTCCTGAGTCTCTCTCCCTCCGTTTCCAGCAGACCCTTTGCAGTGCCTCCTGAACCCATTCCCTATCCCAAGTAGCTAAATCCTGACATACTGGGTCTGGTCCAGCTTATATTCTGTGGAGCAGGAACTCACTACACAAGTGACCTTCCTGGGCAAACTAGATTCAGCACCATGAAAGCATCTCAGGCCTCAGGGAATGATGGAAGAAGACGCCTGAGACTGGAAGCCCTCCCTTCATGGCAAGGCTGGCTTTGGATTATCAGTGTGATTTTATTAGAACCATATTTTAGCAATGGCTGTGCTTTTGACCACAACCTAATAAATGTCCCACAGGACTGAGTCAGAATCACACATGGGAAGTGATGCAGTGACGGTGACCCCTCGAATACAAGACCATCCTGGCTGGCACTCTGAAAGCGAAAGTGTCACCTCCAATGCTGTTCTGGCCTCCCTATCATCACTGCACCTCTTGAGCAGTAGACCACACCTGTCTACCACAGTCTCCCGTTCTAGCCCAGCCCAGCCTTGCATAAAGATGAAAGCATGGGGCCAAGACCTGCAAAGTCCTTTCGACCTCATTGGCCAGATCCTCTGGGTGCCGATGCCCTTGACTTGTGTCTCTGCAAATCTCCCTCTTAGCATAAGGCTGGTCTCCAACAGCGATCCTCTTCTCACCTGCTTTGTAGCCTGGCTCCGATACTGCCTCCTTCTTTCCCACTAGCTGGTGCACATTTTCATACATCTTTGCTTTGGGGGGGTGGTCTTTGAGACTAGGTAATTTTTTAAAGAAATAAATAGGATTTCACTAAACCTAGACCCATGTTGTGAGCCATTGACCTAAACTAAGGCATGCCAAGGTTGGAAGAGGCTGCCTTGCCATTCTTCTGAATAAGTGGGCTGTCACTGTCTGGCCAGATGCAGATAGGCACTTTTTTTTTTTAACATCTCTCTTCAAAGTTGACAAATTTTGTTTTTCCTGTCACTGTTGTTTCAAAGCATAAAATCCCCCAATTTAAATGTTACAAAAATAAAATAGCCCTCCAGTGAGCATAGTGGTGTTGTGTCTCCTAATCTGATACTTAATGACCTCTATAGGGCAGGGAATTCCCCTTCAGTCTTCCTTTTCGTAGTGAGAAGGGTAACACCACCCTCCTTTCGATGGCCGTTGAATTAAACTCATATTCTGCATTGAACACATGGCAGGAACTTGGGGGTTGCATTTCTAAATCCTAAATAATTGAGAGTTTCACTCTCAATTGATTGGCTTCCAAAGCTACCAGAATAAGGGTTGGGACAGAGGGAGTGAGCAATAAGGTGGAAGCTTTCCCTTCTTGTTTCTTTTAGTCAGAAACCAAACCTTCTAGCTTCCAGATTCCTGTTTCTAAGTATCTAAAAGAATGTCCCATGAAGATTGCTATCATTGTCCAAAGAGTTTAGTAAGTGCTGTCCAAGTACAGTGTTGTGATGAGTACCAACCAGATGGGCTAGCTAATCACAAAGGAAACTCTCCCGAGCTTATCAAGCTGCTAATTTACAGGTATGTAACTGTTAAACTAACAAGAAGATAGTATGGGCCCCCTGACATATGTCCCCCTAACACCTGATATTTCAACTGTCTTAACTCCCACTCAATGTCTTTGCAATTATTTATATAACATTTTTTTTCTTCTACAGAGTCTATCACCTCTATAAGAACAGACTTTGTCTGCCATGATCACAGCTATATTGCACAGGGCCTAGTGCAGTGCTTGACATATAGGAGGCATGCAGTTAATATTTGATGAAGGAATGAGAGAAGGATGGATGGAGGGAGGGATGGATGAAGGGATGGCTAGAGTTAAATACATTCATACCATGGTCTTGCATTCATTTTCCAAAGAAAATGTATTAGGAGTGGCATATGAACACACTGTAGACTTCTAGAGAAATTACCTCCAATTTAGAGGAGGAAAGCCTCACAAATGATTTTTAAGACATTTCTTAAAGGCTAATGACTATATATTTTTATTTAAATTCCTCATCTATTAGCCTTTTACTCAGTGAACTGTCATTTCTGACATTTTCTTCTGTTTTCTTTCATTTGACATTTTATCCAATGTTTTATGTATTGTTTGTTGGTCTTGTTGATGTAATGTCCCAGAATTTGTGTGGCAGTGGGCTCTTTACAAATTTTACCTGGAGAAACTCCATCATGGTCCATGTCTACCCCAGAGATCACTGAGATATGACAAGTGAAATTACAACACATCTTAAATTCTACACCTGTGGGTCTCCTTGCATCAACCATCAATCCATCTTCTTATCTGGAGGGGATATATTTATCTCCCCTCTAGGTTGAACAGATCCCACATTCTGAAACCCTCTTGCCATTAGGTACTCCAAGGTACAATTCCCATTGTGATAACAACTCTTAATGGAAGGTTAACAGGGTGGCTTTCTAGTGGTTTTATATCCAGACCCTGAATCTATTTTCCCTGTTTTGAAATAGACTATTATATGGAAACATTGATTACATGGGTATCAAGTATTGTGCCCAGGTTTCCATGACTTGGATTGGAGACTGGATGGACACAAACCTCCATCAGAGAGCTTCTGGGGGTTTGTAGAGGCTGAGAGGGACCACAGTGTCTCCCTATGTGAGATGAAAGCTGTCTACCTCCATCTCCCCTGTTCCCCCTGACTCTCACCTCCTTCCAGCTGTCGCATTAAAGACCATTGCCTTAACGACAGATGTTGGCAAGGATGCAGAGAAAGAGGAGCCCTTTTTACACTGCTGGTGGGAATGCAAACTTGTGCAGCCACTCTGGAAAACAATATGGAGGTTCCTCACAAAATTAAAAATAGAACTACCCTATGACTGAACAATTGCACTACTAGGTATTTATCCAAAGGATACAAGTGTGCTGTTTCAAAGGTTCACATGCACTCTAATGTTTAGAGCAGTGCTATCAGCAATGGCCAAAGTATGGAAAGAGCCCAAATGTTCATTGATAGATGAATGGCTAAAGAAGATGGAGTATTACTGGGCAATCAAAAAGAATGAAATCTTGCCATTTGCATCAATGTGGATGGAATAGAGGGTATTATGCTAAGTGAAATTAGACAGAGAAAGACAAATATCATATGACTTCACTCATGTGTGGAATTTAAGTTACAAAACAGATGAACATAAGGGAAGGGAAGCAAAAAGAATATAAAAATAGGGAGGGGGACAAAACATAAAAGACTCTTAAATACAGAGAACAAACTGAGGGCTTCTGGAGGGGTGGTGGGCGGGGGTTTGGGCTAAATGGGCACGGGGCATTAAAGAAGACATTTGTTAGGATGAGCATTGGCTGTTATATGTAGGAAATGAATCACTAGATTCTACCCCTGAAATCATTATTGCACTAAATGCTAACTAACTTGGATGTAAATTTTTTTTAAACGACCATTGCCTTGCTCCCAGAAGCAGAGCACTAGTCCACTGCCTTCCTCTTCTCTTCGTATGTTTATAGAGTTGAAACACTCAGGTATGAGGACATGTACTGACTTGGAGTGGACAGAGAAGCCACAGCTCTGAGGATGGTGAGGGCACAGGGAAAAAAATGCCATCTCCTCTGGCATCCACAGAAAACACATTCCTTGTGCAAAGGGGGTTGTCTCTGGACTCCCAGTTTCTCAAATACTCAGAATTAAAGAGAAAATGTACCAGACCGCATGGATAAGACTGAATCTGTTCTCCATGACACATGACTGTCTCCATTATATAAGGTATAAATCCAAGAGGCATGGTGAAATGGAACATACATCTGATTTCTCTCAGTCTCCTCAGTCTTTGAAGGTGCTCTGCTACATCCATCCACTCAGAGGATATTCTCATCTCTGAAATAATAATTGTAAAAGCCCCAGATCAGGGGTGCCTAGATGGCTCAGTCGGTTAAGCATCTGACTTCAGCTCAGGTCATAACCTCCTGCGTTGTGGGTTCAAGTCCTGTGTTGGGCTCTGTGCTTGGAGCCTGGGAGCCTGCTTCAGATTTTGTGTGTGTGTCTCCCTCTCTGTCCTTCCCCCGCTCTCTCTCTCTCTCTCTCAAAAATAAACATTAAAGAACAATTTAAGTTCCAAATCAGAAAGTATAAGACCTCATTTCCATGAAGATTTTTCTTTTCTCTCAGGAGCAAGGTCTACCCATGATGACATCATAACTTTACTTCTAAGGAGAATAAACCTCTCAAAAGAAATACATGATTACTCCCATTACAGAAATTGATTTTTTTAACTCCAAGCAGGTGCTACTCACCAATCATGTATAGGAACTTGGAAGAGAGTTTTGAAATAAAAGCTATACTCCATATAAGTAAACTTGTTGCAGAAAAAACAAACAAACAAACAAAAACACAACCACTTCATGCTTGTGCTCAGACACAGGTGGCTTACTAAAACTATTTTTCTGTTATCTGTTCTGTCACAGTGGAGATATCGTTGCCTTTGAAAACTCAACTAATTATAACAGCATTATCCAGCAAGAAGGAACAGTGAGTGTGGAATAAAATAAATTTACTATAAGAGACTCTGCAATATTCAGTAATTGCCTGATTGGATGCAAGTGTTTTCCCATGTTTAATGTTCTTATTATGTGTGGCCCTTAACCACTCACCTGTCTGACCAGGGTTGGTGATTATCCACCATGTACCACACCCTATGCTGGGACAGATATCCTCAAGGAGCATATTGTTTTGCTGCACATTGTGTTTCTTTTGCTATAATTAAGAAGGATTCCTAGATGGTTAGCAATAAATTTGTGTGAAAATGTCTCCATATTACAGTTATAGCTTTTTGAATTAGGACACCAGAACTATTAATAGCTAATCTATAACATCACAAGTTGAATTCTGCTTAAGTTGGCCAAGATGACATGATAGTACTTTGATAATGTCTTGGTGAGGTGTCATTGAGTGGATAACTTTTTGAAAACCTGTTTTGTGACCAGCACTCTTGAGGACTGAGTGAGGTGTGAAAGAGAAGTAAAAACAAACAAAAACTCCCTATACATGAATAGAATACCGTGTCATGGTTGGGAAACTGAGATAGACACGAAATAACTGGTGTACTGTGGAAAGGGCAAGGTAGGCTGTAGCTGGTTTGGGAACTCCAAAGTGGGACTGGGGGGAAAGGCTGTAGTGGGCCAGAGTGATTAGGGAAGGCTTCATGGAAGAAGTGGCCTGTGTTCATTTCCTATTACCACTGAAACAGATCTAGTGCCAATTTACTGGCTTACTAACAAACTTATTTTCTTACAGTTCAAGAGGTCACAGTCTGACCAGTTCAAAGTGCTGGCTACAGTCTTTCTGCGGCATGAAGAGGAGGATCTATATCTTGTCTTTTCTGGCTTTTGAGGCTGCCCATGTTTCTTGGCTCATGGCTCCTTCCTCAGTCTTCAAAACCAGCAAAGGCAGGCTAAGTCCTTCTCATGCTGCCATCTCTCTGGTTCTTTGCTCCTGGGAAGGGGTCCCTGCAATTAAGAACCCTTGTGATTACAGTGGGGCTGCCTGGATGCTCCAGATAATCTCCCCATCGTAAGCTCCTTAACCTTAATCACATCTGCAAAGTCCCTGTCACCCTCTAAGGTTCCAAAGATGAGGATGTGGACACCTTTGGGCAGCCATTAGTCTGCCTGCCACACTGTCCTTACGCAGATCCTGGAGGGGTCACTCAGGTCTTCTTCTAGAAGGCATTCATCTTGAGAGTATAGCTTGCATTCATGCTGGGAAGTATGTGGACAGTGAGGGGCTGGAGGTGAAGATTTGGGAAAACAGTAGACTCTGGGTGGGGTCAGATGGCAAAGAGCTTGTCAAAGCCAGGCTGAGGAATTTAGATTTGAGACTGTAGGCCACCACTGAGGCAACTTTTGAAGGAGAATGAAAGGATCCATTTGCTTTGGGAGTGATAACTGAGGGAGCAGTGTCTTCGAGGATTCAGGAAGGACCAAAGGCAACCAGGAGAACTGATAGGGGAGGCAGATAATACCTAGAGGGTCGGGTGTTGATAGGAAGGGTCCCTCATTGTACCTCCAGGGTGTGACGTATAGTATGTGCTCACTAAAGATTACAGTGACATTTTTCTTGGAACTACTGAAAATTCCAAACTGTATTTGATATACCTGGAAAATATAAATAGAATTTCTCACGTTTTTCTTTGTCATTTTGCTGAATTATTTCTCCAGAATGGGAGTCCCTCTGATTCTTTCCTGAATGCCTTCTCCTAAAGAAATTCCAAATTCAGTGGTTTTGTAATAAACTTTCGCTTTAGATTTCTGATTATGTAATTTGTAAAGAAAAAATTTCAATTCAAGATTTTAAATCAATTTTTTTTTCCTGAAAGATAAATTCTTTTCATAGGAAGAGCTGGAAGCAGTTAACTTCAGGAACACATATCTTTGCTTTTTATTATTATTTTTTGGTAATTGGTTATATTTACATGTTCCTTGTAATGATTTCTTACATTATTACAATAGTACATATACAGACTTTGAACAGGTAGGACTGTGATGAATTTGCCATTTTGAAATGCAGAGATTTCTGCAGTGAGACAGAGAATAGTCTGACTGGAACTATGGTTCTCCAGTTGAGCATGCATAAGGCTCACTAAGGAGGTGGATTAAAATTATAGACTTCTGGCCTCATCTGATCTCCTAGAGCCCTAGGGATATGAACCCCAACTGCTCCCAGGGATTCTGATATGGATGGTTTCAGGGCCACACCTGAGAAGCACTAGCTTTGATAATAGAAACATAAGCCTCAGGAGCATTGATGAATACAGGAGGTCAGGGTGTGCTGTGGAGAAAATGGATGTAGTTAGGGTAGGATGTGGTAGGTAAGAGAAGCCAGCCCAGAGTTAGACTGGATGGCTCCTTAGTGCTTCTCTAATAGAAGATTGATGCCCAGGACTGTGAACTCCATGAAATAGCCCCATTTTTATTAAATTAATTAATTATCAATTAATTAATTAATATTAATTATCTAACACCCACATGCTAGAGGAGCTCTCCCTCCGATGACTCCAAATGAAACCAGGGTTCCAAAGTGGTAGGAATGAAGGTTGAATAGCACCCCGTGCAAACCCAGTGAGAACCAAACAGTACCCAAAGGAAATGACATTTTTTGAGCCTTCTGCATGACTACTTTATGTATTGATTTAGACACCCAGGTCTCTATTTTTATTCCAAAAATATCAATGAGAGGAATTTCAACTTGGCATCTTCACCATGTTAAGTGCATACGATGCATTTTTCCAAGGAGAGGAACAATTGCTTTCATCAGAATCTCAAAGAGGTTCAGGACCACAAAGAGTTAAGTAGTACAAATTTTATAGAATACAGGCATCATGACCTAGACAGGATCCAGTTTTATTTCAGGGAGGGACAGTTATATAGACAAGGATTGTATAAATGTATTTGTGGTATTAAATTATTCATAGATAATATTTTTAACACGTTACTATATAGCACTTGTAATACATGACTGCAAGAGTGATACATCTGGGTAATATATTCAGTCCTAACTGCTTCCTGATGAGCATAGTTTGTAGAATTATAGAGGAAGGATAATATCACTTGGAATGAAATAAGGGGAAAAGCTGCCCGGATCAATGATATGTCCAGAGATGTGTATAAAAGGTTGCACAGAACATTAGCCTGTAGTAGCAATGTGATCATGACATGGTTTATATACAAGAAAATTCATTTTATTTTGAAGAAATAATTTATGTATAAATGGCTTCTAGTGTGAAAATCATTCACCGATAAAGACAGACCCAGTTGGATCCCCTTTGTCTGAATTCAGGAGATGTCCATTCTGGGAGCAAGAATTGGCAAAGAAGTACTCCTACAAAATGGTAGGCTTGCACACATGGGGGAAACTAAGTTTTCACACATTTGATGCCTAGGGGAGTAAATGTCTTCTTATTTTGCTTGTGATCATCTGAACCAGATGGAATAATGTTTGCCTTCTCCCAGACCTATGAGCACCAACGTTCCCTCCCTGGGCTGAGTGGCAGTCAGGAAGTTCAGGTCTTCCCCTCATGTCTTATAGAAAGGCTCCACCCAGGACCACTTTGTCATTAGAGTGAGGGCTTCCCTATGACAGAGCAGAGAATAGATATGCAGATTCTCTAGAAACTGGGACTAGGGAACATGGAGGGGCAAACTGGGATTTAGGGAGAAAGGTGTCAGAGATCGGTGACCTCTTTAGTGGATGATACAGATCCTAGAGTTACTACGTCAAAATTGAAGCTATGTCAATGTTAGGCCAGTAACGTGTATGCATTGCTACACATAAACAACACTGAAAGAGCTGAGCTACTGTCATGTCAGAAGTGCAACATGAGCAGCAGCCTCTAAGGACTTAGAAAGGTTCTTTGAGGATCAGTTCATTCTGGAAGTGCCCCTAAAACTGAAATGATTTTCCATATCCTTCCTAGATGGCCTTTCTTGCTGGTGAATACTACAACTATTGCCAAGACATTTTACAAAACGTGAGGAACCGAGAACTTGAGAGGGTAGGGTTTTATCTATAAAACACAAATATTTATGACTCATCATTAATCATTGTACTTGAAAAGACCCCTCAAGGGATGTCAAGTGGTAATTCGTTGCACTGAAGTGCTTAGAAGGCAGCTATTTATACTTATTGAGGTGATATCTGAGGTGATATTTTTATTCAATGTAATCATTTGGAAATTTTTCAAGGTGCTAAATAACCTTATTCTTTGAATATAATTCAGCTATTTTTTTATGATCTAATTCCTGCTGATTTTGAATAAAGTATTGGTAACATTATTCACCCTAGAATTTTCAGTAACGCTAAAGAGCCATTTTATTGATAACATGCTAACTGAAAAGGAAGCAAGACTTTGAAGCAGGGTCATCTGTGTTGTAATGATTGGATGATTTTATTCTAGAATTGGCTGTGAAAAACATGAGCAAATCTTTTAGCCATTCTTAATTTTATCTTTTGCAGTAGAAAATCCAGGAGAACAAGTAGACATTTCAATGAAAGCTTTTTTGATATCTAGTGCTCTAATTACTTCAACTTTGGGTGATAGTGTTCATTCAGCATGAGTTCATTTAGTACTTATTGGGTGTAAAGCACTACAGTGAAGGAGATGCCAAGGTGTCTTTAGGATGGCTGCTGTCCTACTAATGCAATTTTATAAATATCCATCCACATTGGGTATCTAATATACTCCTTTCCTTCATTTGCTCATCAAGCATTAACTTAATTCTTACCCTGTGACTAGAACCATTTCTGGAACTAGGAAGGTATTCTCCATAAGGCTTATAGTCTGGTACTAAAAGGAGCAATATAAGCCAATAAATATGATACAATATGGGAAGTTCTAAAATGGCAGCTTGATTGGACTGTTCTGGGTGCCAGGAGAAATAGTAACAAGATGGCTGAGAATCTCCCAAGGGGAAGTCATGTTGCTGTTGATGGCAGTGGAAAAACAGAGGTTCAACAAACTTAAAGTGCAGTAGGAAAGGGGTTCCAGGTAGAACCAATGGTGTAGGCAAAAGCAGCAAGATGTTCACAGGCATGACATGGCAAGAAATGTCATTGTGACTAGATGTTAATATCCCTTAAGGAGAGAACCAGAGGGAAGGTGTGAAACTAGTCTGGTGCTAGAAAGGGCCTATGCCCTGTGAAGAATTCTGACTGATTGAGAAGGTGGAGGGTGAGGAGCAGTGATCCAAGATCACCATATTGGACCGGAGGGCAGTGAGAATGTTTTATCATTGTCAAGGTGAGAAGAGGAGGTCTGGAGCAGTGACAGTGACATCAGAAGGAAAGATAGACAAATTGGAGAAACACTCCTGAAGCAGATACACAAGATTGGATGACTTTGGAAAGGCTGGTGAGAGTTAACAGAGATGAGCCCTTGGTTGCTGTCTCATCTCTCCAAAAAGCCATGCTCCAAAGTTACCAACCTGACAGTAAAAGGATTAATAACCATGCTCATCCCACTATTGTATTTTTGTTCAGTATCTTTGAGTCTCTTTGGAGATGTCTTCTCTAGAATTAATGCTCTGGTAACAAGATTTCAAATCACACGCTCACCATCAGGTACTTCGAGAGTTGGCTCTAACTTCCTTGGCAGCCTGCATACAGGGGTAGCTCCTTGCCTACAGTCATTGGCAGGTCCTTCTGTCAGGGTTTCAGTGCTTCAAACTATTTGAGCTTACAAAAATCCCCAAAAGACAAGAGTCTTTATCTTTATTAGCTGGCATCTCATATTGGCCGTCTGGTTCAATAATAGAGTGTGAAGACTCAACATGGGCAAACATAAAGAAAAGTAAGGAGGCTGCCATTTTGTTCCACAACAGAAGGCATCTACAGAAGTCTTTAAAGAAGGCTCCTATGTAGGATGATACTGGTCCTCTTTTATCACATAGTCCTTGGGTGAATTCTAACTTGGCAAGAAGGAAGCCTCTTTGATAACAGACTGTTACACGTCCTTCTGAGCCGACAAATAATTGAGAGAGTCAGTCAATATACATTCATTCTAAACTGTGGTCTGTGCCCTGTGGCCAGATCTTCATCCTGTTACAATCAACAGGAGCCCCCTTGTGGTCAGAAACAGGCTTCCTTCCAGAAAACTTCATGAAATTTATATTCCATATCATCCCATCCAACTGGCAGTTGCTCTCTGATAGACTACCGGTGATATTAGATAGTATTCACTGCTAAAACACAGCCTGGAGGAGCTGATTGGCAGAGCTTTACATTAACTGGGCTAAAATTCATCCCATTATCACTCGGAGCTGATTAAGTATGTAATGGGGGATTAGTCTCATCAGGCACAAAAGGAGTTTTCAGAGGTATGTTCTATTCCCTCATCAGGTGGAGGACTTGCTCACTTCTTTCTGGAAATCTCTTCAGCAAGACACAGCCATGCTTATGTCATTGCCTGATGTGTGCCAGCTCTTTAAATGCTACGATGCGCAGTTGTACAAGGTAAGAAGACATTTTGCTTGCCTTTCCTTTCTAGAAATTGATACCAAAAGCTAGGTTAGAACCACAGCCCTCCTGCTCTGCAGTCTCTGGTCCTCAGGCCTCTGAGGATTAAATAATGGTGTTGATGGACCACAGGCCTTTTGATCGTTCCCTAAAACTTGGCTTTTTTTTTTTTTTAATTCAGTGGAAGTTACTTCATGTAAAGAAAAAGCCAATACACATGGTGTCCTATGGTTCCAGTGATTACTGAACCCTGCATTGAGTTCAAAGTTCTTTGGTAATTTCAACAAAAGAAGTCTTTTTAAAACGAGTAATTGGAATAATTGCTTTGGAATATACCTAAGTGCCAGGGTGTTCTGGTTGTTGTTGTTGGGTTTTTTTTTTTTTAATTGTCTATCTCTAAAATGGTTATTATTATTTGGGGCTCAGTTATATATAATTTCTGTGGTTCTCCTTAAGCTGGTCATGAACGTTTACCTTTCACTTTTTAGGAAACAATCTAGTACTTCAAAGTTTTTAACACAAAGTTTGAAAGCCAGAAGCTGGGTTCAGACCTTATATATTTAGATTTGATCCACCAACTCTTGGCTGAAATAGTAGTGTTTCTTAACATTTTGAATCAATTATCAATGTTTCAAGATCTTTTTTTTAAAAAATCGCATCCTGACTCTACATCCTGCACAGTGAGCAGTGGCTAAGGCGGGTGGTGGCTTTCTCTCTGTGGCACGTCTGACCATGGCCACTTGTAACTACAGGACCCCTACCCTGGCCGGCAGCCACCACATCTTGACAATTCTGTTGTAGGGAATTGAGGACGTTCTCCTTCATGACTTTTTGGAAGATGTTCCCATTCAGTACCTGAAATCTGTCCGGTTATTTAGTAAGAAATTTAAGCTGTGGCTACTTAATGCTTTGGAAGGTTTTCCCGCCCTTGTGCAGATCTCCAAACTCAAAGGTAGGTTACAGTGAAAAAACTGAATTCTGTTCAGAGTAAGTACATGACGTCTCTGACATTAAAACTGAGGCAGGACACCTCAGGTGTTGGGTGACTCTTCCCCTCCTGCATTGAACTGCGATCTGCAAGGCCTGACCACTTCAAATCTGCTGGGGTTAGAGGTGCAGGGAAGGAGCTGGCCTCGCCTCCAGCCCCTGGCTAAAGTGTGCCTTCTCAAACCAACACCCTGAGGGCAGCCTGCCGTCCTTGGGCTCACTGGCCATGCAAGCGGGCCTGACCAGGGCTCAGGCTCCAACATTCTTCTGCCTCTTTGTGCTCTGTGTGGCCTCCCACAAGGCTTCAAAGAATATTGCTCCCTCTTTAGAAATCCCTCCCGTGTCCTTAACTTTCTTATGCCTCTTGGGCCACAGGGGCACTGACACTTTTGCGGTCTCAGTCTGCCCATTGGCTTTCTAGAACACTTTCCCCTCCATCACGCTGCCAGATGGTAGTGGCTGAATACTGCTTCCCCAAGGCTGCTTGCCTGCTCCAGGCCTACAATGGCTTCCTTTAAATGCCTGCACTCACCCATGTGTGCGTGACATGCTTTAAAGTCCTGGAAATACCCATTTGCTCCCTCCTGCCTCTGTGAGGTTCTCCACCACCCCCAACAGCCTCCCCACCAGGACCCTCCTTTTCCTGGGCCAGCTTGCTCAGGGCTGAGTCTTGCTTTCTTCGCACACTGTTTGCTCCCTTCTCAGAGTGCCCACAGAATGGGACTATGTCTCATTTTAACCCCCAGGCCCTGCACCCCTTGCTGGGTTCAGTACTCACACTGGGAAACTTGATCCCGTGTGACCCACCTGGATCGTGGGACCATGGCTGCCAGCCAAGAATCAGCAGGGGGAGGTGCTGCAGGGAATGTGAGGTCTGGCACTTGCTGTGGCAGAAGATCCACAAAGTGGGGAGATGAAGCCCCGCTCCGGCTTTGCTGTGGTGGCTTTACCTCTAGCCTTAATCCAACCCCAGGTGCCTTCTGTCCTTCCCAGAGCCTACACCAGAGCGTGCTAGTTGATCATCCTGCCTCCAGCCTCACCCCCTCAGTCACACTCCGCTCCACACCTAGTGATCATTCCACACCGTGATCTGACCCATTAAAACCTTCCATGGCCCCTGCTGCCTGGAATGTGCGCCAGCAAAGTCATTCTCAGCTTGGCCTCTGGCCTCATCTTTGTCCCCAGCCCCCCAGGGCATCCCTCCACGGGTGCTCCTCAGCAACACAAGACAAGTTGTCCCCAAAAGGCCCTTATTCCTGCTCCTGTCTGTGCCTAGACTGCCAACCCCATCCCCTTTCGCCCCCCCCCCAACCCTCACCCTCGCTAACTCCTAACTTGCACCTTCTAAGTGAAGCCATCCCTGACACCTTCTTCCAAATGGGCCTCTCCCTTCCCCTGGCACCCACCACACACCCCGCTCCTTCGTTCTTCCCTTCCCCGTGCTGCTCTCGCTCTGCTGGAGCACTTACCTGCTGTGGAGAGGGGGTCTGCAGGTGTGGTGAACCATCATCGGGGGTGAGCCCAGAGAGGGTAGAGGCTGCCCTCCTTTATCCAACAACCTGGCAAACACCCAGCAAACATTTACGGAGCAAACGTGCCACGCGTATCCATCGTAAATATCTGTCAGATGAATACATGCACACATCCCCTTTATGTTTTCTCTTGTCATCCTTTCTTTCCTTGGGTCATTTTTTGAGGAGAGCACTGTAGAGATGACAAAGTTGGGGGAACTCAAGCTTCCAAGGCAAAAATCCTCAACTCCTTCGAGCCGGCATATCAGATGCTGGGATTACATCATGTTATGGTACAAGGGAGGGGGGACTGAGGGGAAGGGGTGAGGCCACAGGGGTGTTTTAGTCAGTGGCCCCTGTCAGCCTCTCCTAGCCATTTGGGAAAGGGTCAGAGGGTGGTGGGAAGACCAGGATGCGTGGAGGCCTCCCCATGTGGAGGGCAGTTTAGGTGGCTATACCCTGCTAGGTAGACATGCATCTGTCTATGCCTCCTCTTCCCCACTGTGTACATATGACCCTGAAGCTACACTGTCAGTAATGGCCATGTGTGTTGTCCTTAACAGAAGTTACTGTGTTTGTCAAAAGACTAAGAAGAAAGACATACCTTTCCAACATGGCAAAGGTAGGTTTCAGCCAATGACAGGAGGGAACAAAGCAGTTTCTTGAAGAGAAAAGTGAAAGCTGCAAGTATCCGCTAAGAGCAGGTGGCAGCTGCCTTTGCAGGGAGGCCATGTGCATCCACTTAAAGGGCAGAGGACAGCCAGGAGGACCTTGCTGGCCACTAACTAGGAAGGCCTAGTGGGCCCCAAACTCAGCTAGAAGCCCACCCCTCAGCTCCCCTCCTCAGAAAGATTCTTCCTGCAGGAGAAAAAGCAGAATTAGCAGGTCAGTGTTCTAAAGCCAGGGGACGACCCCACATAAGAGCAGACCAGGGCCAGTCAGGGTCAGAGGTGAAAGGGCATCATGGCAGAGCCTAGAACAGGCAGACGGAGCCCTTCGGCCAGTGTGTGCTCCCAAGGATTTGTTGTGTCTGGGCTGCCAGGTCTCCCTGCTGGATTGATTGTGCAGTTTCAATGTTAGAGGAAGGCAGAGAAGGGGTGAAAGAAAGATTATATAAGCCTGTGTGTGGGCCGCTCAGGAATCTGTTCTGAAATCCTGTGGACAGCAGATCAGAACAGCACTTAGACTGCTGCTGTGTTCCAGATCAGCCCCAGCTCAGCAGGAGCTTAACCCTCTCCATCTCTCCAGCACAAACTCTCCCTAGACAGCTCCTCAGGACTTCTTCCCACCTACGTGCTCACAGCCTGTCCAGTTCTCCAGTACTTTCTTATTCCTGGTTGGGTCAACTGGTGAAGGCCCCACAGCAAGGCCTTCATTCCAACCCAACCCAAATGGCAAGTTCTGGAGCTACCCTGCTCTGAATCTTATCTAATTAACACTTCTACTTGGGAAGCTTGACTAACACCCCAGGTGCCCTCAGGCTCCTCAGTGAGATGGAAGTGCTCCTAGTGCCTGCTCTTGAGCCTGGTGTGAGGATGACAATCCCCCAGACTCCAGAATTGTAACAGATTGGATTGGCCCCCTTGGCCAGCTGAGGAAATCAGACCCCAGAGGCTGAGTTCATTGCGCACACCTCCAAGAGGAAAGGACAGGGATAGCTTCTGAGTCCCTGCAGCCACCTGCTGGAACCAGTCAATACTCACTTCCGCAGAGCCATACTTCCCTTGCAGAACCTCAGTCACCTGCTGTGTTCCTCTCTAGAGTACTTTAGGCTCATGGAGTGGGGTGCAGAGAAGAGTCAGGGAGAGGAGGAGCCACGAGAGCCCCGACTGCTATGAGCAGACCACTCAGAATGCTGATTTTCATAAAGACAGTTCTAGAATGTGTGAAATTCAAACACTTCAGTTGTCATTTAGGATTCAGTTTTAAACGGATAATACCCAAATCCACCTCTCTTTCTCTTCAGCAAAAAGTCTTGGTCATTTGGAGGGGGGGATTAGGCAAAAGTAAAATACCAAGATTTAATGAAGTATTATGCTTCCCCATTCTCTTTAGACTATGAAAATGGTATTGAAAAACAACAGGAGGGTCAGCGTTTTGAAGTCGGATCTACACGCCATCATCAATCAAGGTGCTTTGGACACTTCCAAGAAAACCCTGCCGAGTAGCTCACGCAGCACGGCTGACCTGGAGACGCACACGGAGATGCAATGTAATGTTCCTTCTGCAGTTCGTGTTACTAGAGCGTTTGGGATATATTTGGGGCTGCCCGGCCATCACTAGTTTATGAATCCTTAACAGAGACAGAACCTACTTTACTCTTCGGTATTATAATTTATCTGCTCACGCACCTCTTCCTGCAGGGGTGGGGAACATCCAAGGGAACACTCCACCAGGGCCCTCCTGAGGGTCTGCCAGGCTGGCGGTGCTAGTACATGTTTGTTGAATTAATGCACAGATGAGTGTGGTTGTTGCTTCGTGGTATCTCTTTCTGGAAATCAACCTGGAGTAGACACTCAAAAAGGTGAGAGAGCCGAAGGCCGTTCTTTGCTAAGTGCTGGCTGTGCAGGTGCGAGAGCCAAGTCCCAACGTCACACGTGCTGGGGCTCTGCCCTTCAAGTCTGTACTAACTGAGTTTATACCCCCAGGCAAAGCACATCCCTCATCAGCTTTGATGTCCACCACCAGTTTCAAGGACATTAGTAAACTACCCCTTTTGTGAACATGGCAAGGAGGTGATGTCATGTCTGTATCATGCAATGAGCTCACCTCTAGCTGGGTTCTGTATAATTACAAGGTGTAGTTATTATTTCAAAATATTTTCTCCATTTCCACAAGTGACAGAGGTGGTTCCTTAGAGGCAAGACCATATAACTCTGAACTAGTTGACCGCAGAGGTGACAAATCCAGCTTTAGAATTCATGCTTTGTGTTCAGAAGGGGTGTGAGGCCCCAGGGAGTTCCTTTAAACTACTGTTCCCAGTGTGGTCCCCTAGGTTACCTTGTACACAAATACCTACAGTAAAATCCTGCTACTTGGCTCACAATCTTTTTGTTTCTTTTGTCTATAGGTTTAAGCAGTTTGATTTCTTTGCTGGGGACATCCACAGACCTCAGCGTATTCCTGAATTGTCTGTCTTCAAATCTCCAAGCATTTGTCCTCCAGGTATAAAACCATGATTTTTAAAAAAAAATTTTTTTTAATTTACATCCAAGTTAGTTAGCATATAGTGCAATAATGAGTTCAGGAGTAGATACCGGTGATTCATCCCCTCTGGATAAGACCCAGTGCTCATCACAAGTGTCTTCCTTCATGCCCCTCACCCATTTAGCCCATCCCCTCACCCACAACCCCTCCAGCAACCCTCATTTTGTTCTCTATATTTAAGAGTCTCTTATGTTTTGCCCCCTCCCTGTTTTTGTATTCTTTTTGCTTCCCTTCCCTTATGTTCATCTGTTTTGTACCATGATATTTTTTTAAAGGGAAGAAGGGGATGTTGATCATTCCAGTTACATTTTAGCATCAGTGCCCATGACCTGATGAAATGAAAGAGTTTTCTCGGGCCAGAAATGTGTCAGTGCTCGTGTGGTTGTTAAAGATGGGGAAGTGGTGTCTCACCCCTGTAGCAAGGCAGGAATCAGAGGCTGGCACATGCAGGTGTGGTGTTTGTGGGTAAGCGTGTGCACTTGGGTGAGCACGTGTGGGCTCAGGTGTGTGTGCAGGTGAGCATGTATGTGCAGGTGAGTGGGGGTGGGTAAGTAGGTGTGTGTGAGTGAGCACGGGTGAGTGTGTGTGCGAGTGAGCATGTGGGAGGGTGAGCATGGGTATGCGGATGAGAGTGTCTGTGTATGCAGATGAGCTTGGATGAGTGTATATATATGCACCAAGCAGGAGTGTCTAGAAGAAGAGGAGATTTTTTCTGGGAAGAATGGTGCTGTTCTGGGTATTCTGCAGAACGCTCTCAGTAAAGTGTCAGGCTTGATTTCATAAAATGAAAGACAAACTGTTTTGGATATGGATGGGCTTGATCCTTCTGGTCAACTTGAAACTTGGGTGTTACTTGAACAGGGAGGGTCCTCTGGCTTGGTTGCTGTCACCCTCTGCTTCCACAGTCACACCGTAAGAGCAGAGAATGCTGTCCAAGAAAGCCACAGCACCCTTGCCCTAGCAGCCCATGGTGTGTGGTGGGTGAGGAGGTGGGGGCTGCACATTTAAAACCGAGACCGACACAAGGCAGCCCAGAGCTGCCCCCGCTTGACGCATTCTCCTCTGAAGTCTGAGGAGGTCAGGAAAGGCCTTGACGAAGGAGGTGGGATTTAAACTGGGGTGTGGAAGGTGAATAGGATTAAAACAAGCTAAGGGAACAATGTCCGCAGGAGAGACCTGAGCAGAATGAGCATATGGAAAAGGGGCATCTGTCTAGGGAAGAAGCAGCAGCCATCTCTGGAGCAGACTTAAAGGGCCTGTACCGTGAACACGACTTTGGGCTTTCTCTGTTTAAGCCACTCCTCACTTTTTTTTTTCTCTCCCCTTTCCCGCCCTGCCTGTTCTTGTCCGTTTGCCTGTCCTCCCTGTCAAAGAGAAAGGGCACAGACAATACCTGAGGTCACGAAGACTGCAGGTGGCATTGGGCTCGCACACCTCATAGAGAGGAACCAGAACACTACTCAGGAAGGAACTCGAAAGTCATTCCTAACCCTTGGCAGGTGTCTGTTTCTGTTCTTCCCTTCTGGGTGATAATCATTCCAGATCCTGTATGGCTTTTATCCCTCCCCGTCGGGCTTTGTCAAAGCTTATTTATAACAGTGGTAAACGTATTTAGGGCTGCAATGCTGTGGAGACATTTATTCGCGTGAAAGCTTCACCCACAGAAGCTTTCAAGCCTCTGTTCCTTGTTTTGGGTATTCACTCCACCTCTGACTTTAAGCAAGATGAGCCCTCTGAACCAGTAATACCAGGCCTGCCTCAGAGCAGCCGGAGAGGCCCATCCTATGTTAGACCATGTAACACGCTGTGTTTCCCAAGACTCCACCACCGTATCTTCAGCCTTCAATCAATGAGGCATGTAAGAAAAATGGTGTTTTTGTAATTGTGTGCCTTTGAAGGGCTTGTTTTTGTAAAGCAGCTTGGCTGATAAAAAACAGACTATTGTCAATAAAATACTCAGACTGTTAAAATGTGAGGCCGTGAGCATGTGGGAGATGACTAAGAGCTTCCGTGGTTAGCATCTGGCAGCTCGCTAGCGGAGGGAGATGTTCAGCTGGTCACGTGCTCGTTCTCCCCGCTCTTGTGCCGATCGGGCCCAGGAGCAATCTCTGAACATGGGCACCTGAGGTGCCACGTGGGTGGCAAGCGGAGGCATATTCCATACTGTTGAGGGTTTACATCTAAATGTCTATGCAGAGTGCCGGTCACCCGCAGCTACTTCTCTTGATCCTTTTAAAAAGTATCCTTGTGTCTGTGGAGCAGGGCTCCTCCCAGGAGCCCCATTTTAGATGATCAGCAACACTGACTGGGGTGGGGGAGGGACCAGAAGCCAGGAGGGGAGCGGGGTTCATATGTTCCCAGAGTCCCAGGGAGGGCAGAGGAAGGAGAGCAGCAGTGATGAGAAAGGGGATTCCTTCATTCCTAGACAGTCTCAGCATCTCCTCCTCAGAGACATGTGGCTAAGCCAGTGGGTGGTCCACATATAGAGGAGACTTAGGAGGCTTCGGGGCATTCATTCGGACATATGCATGCGAGATTCATATGATCCCATGGGTGTGTAATTCATTGCAAGTGTGGCCCAAGGCAGCTCCCAGTCTGGATAGTTTCTCAGCCTGCCTGTGGAGGCATCTCACCCGCACCTGGTTCAGTGCTATGCAGGCTGTCAGCTGGCCTCGGCTCTGTGGGCCCCACGGGGGGACCTGCCAGTCCTTGGGTCATTCACATGATGCAGTGGCCAGCTTTGTGCTTTCCAAAATCTGTGCTGTTACTTTCATTATTACGGGATTCTGTGCCTCTTTTTCACATGGTCCGACTTGCCAAGGATAAAACAGCCGCCATCTCTCTCAATGGCTGCTGCCAGGTGGGCTTCAGCGAGGCTGCCCCTGCAGGACTTCTCTGTTACGCTTCACAAATGACTTCTTTCATGGGGCTAAAACAAAAAAATGTAGGCCAACTCCCCCCTGTTTCCTCTTCTCCACCAACTTCAAAGGGCTCTGCCCTAGAATCATCTCCATAGGAGATGCCGCGAGAGCAGATATAGGCCAGTGTGCCTCTGCCTCCCTGCCTGCCCTATCATTTCTTCTTCTTCTCCTCCTTGAGCCACTTGGGAATGTCTCTGCATGACAGCTGTGCACACTGGAAAATACGATCTTCTTGATTGTGTCATAAACCCCAGCATTTTTTCCCTCACAAAAATGTAATAGCCAAGCAGAAACAAAGAAGAGTTTATCAGACTGGCCGCCAGCTTCCAGCTAAGGTGGAATTTCCTTCTTACCACTGTGAGCAAAGCCATGACCCTCTGCCACAGAGATAGTTTCGGTAAGTCGGACAATACAAAACATTTTGTATTCTACCCTTTAAAACTGTTATCATAGCATAAGTATTCTCCGTGTTCTACATAGAACCCAGCCACCTCCTTTTCACCTTTTAAAGTAAAATACAACATAGACACAGAAAGTCATACAAAGCCATGACAATCATTTTTTAATGGCAACATGATAGTCCATCAAACAGACCATGCTCCCCCTCATTTTTTGTTTGTTTGGTTTGGTTTGTTTTAAGTAGGTTTCAAGCTGAACACAGAGCCCAATGTGGGGCTTGAACTCATGACCCTTAGATTAATACTCAGACGCTCAACCAACTAAGCCACCCAGGTGCCCCGCCTTTGTTTTTGAATTCTGTGCTTGGGGCATGTTGAGGAAAGCATCCAAGGAGCCAACTGAGATAGAAAAAAATGGGTTCTTTGGGGCTCCCGTGTTTAAATTTCATGAGTAACAATTGATGGTCAAATGGATGGTCTTTCTCTGTCAGAGAAGGTCACGTCCATCCCATCTATGGCAAAGATGGAGTGTAGGAGAACTGTTGGAAGGGAAATTCACCTCTGAGCCCTCCAGCCCCATGGAAAGAATCATTCACTACAACAGCTATTTATTGTGTTCCTACAAAGTCCCAAGCGCCTTCCTGGGCACCGAGCATACAGCAGTGGAAAGAGTCTCCAGCCCTCTGAGCCTGCACACTAATCGGGGTGAGGATTCCCTGCTCCAGAGAGCTGCCAGATGTCCTGGCGGAGAGCAGGTGGCACAAGGCAAAGGAGACAAGCCCTATGGTTGACCAGTGTTGCCAACCCTCTGGAGGGTGGCTGCTGTCTGCTGCCATGGAGGTGACACCCACTGGTAATGAGACTTTCCCCTTTAATGAAGTCCAGATGACTGCTTTATGCTAATACTATCCCAGCACAAAGTGATGGTGCAGGGCTCACAGGCAGTCAGGGAGTGAAACCCAGCCCTGAAGCTGTCGTCCCCTCCCCCAGTACACCTTCTTTGGGTCCCTGTATGAAGCCCAAGAAAGTATTTACACTAGTTTTCCTCTTCACATGGTTACATGGGCGGGGGGGGGGGGGGGGGGGGGGGGGGGGGTTGGTCAGGCTTATTCCAGGCGGTGCCAAGCCATCCCATCTCACCCAGATCCTTCAAGGAAAAACAAATATTGGATAAGGCTTTGATATGGACAGAAGTTGGCTTGAAATGGACAAAAGGCATTGAAAAAGGTTGAGCGCCCTGGTCCCCAGTTATCTGTGTCTTTCATTGTGTTTGAGCTATTTTACAACTCTATAACGTGTATCCAACTGATGGTAATGCAAATGACCCTCCAGGGAAATATGCAAACTAGCTGTGTCAGGGGGATGCCATTGATTACTGCCCTGAGGACAGGTCTGTTGAATTTGTGTAAATACTTCACTGTCTATATATGGTCAATGCTTTGAATTCTCTTTGAACCAGTTGCAACATTTTACTAACTTCTTCTTTAATAAATGACACACGAGCTCTTTGACACCCGTTCATTTTACATCTCTATAAAGAGTCATGGTTTTACCTTCATTAAAAAAGTATCTTTTAATGATAGCAGTAAGCCAGATGCCCCTCCCCCACCCTACTCCACCTCACTTTTCAGCCGAACGTTAATTATCTTTTTCTTTTCTGGAGGACCAAAGGCCTTGGGATTTGGAATGTTCGGCTGAGTCACGTGCCCTCCTGTCTCCCCTGCCTGTCTCCCTGAGGGCAGCCCTGGCAGCCTCATGAAAGAATGCCAGCCAGCTTCCCTCCCCCACTTCTCTCACCAGGAGATGCAGCCACACAGACTGCAAGGAGGGAAAGGCAATGCTACGTTTCAAGCCCTTTCCAGCCTCCCAAGGGCAGCTGGCTCCCTTCCCCACTCTGCTTCTGCATCTCCCATCCTGTCCCTTACGGGCCCCACGTGCCAACCACGGGAGGCCGAGGGGCACATTTTCCAGCTCTGGGAGTGGCATCTCTTTCTTGTGGAATTTGCTTTTCTCCCACCTCCCACTGGATGGCTTTTAAGTTCCCCTCCATGGCTCAGACTGTTTAGCTCTCGGTGCTTTCTGACCAAAGCCTCCTTGGCTGGGGTTCATGGGTATGGAATGCCTGCCCAGGGCCCCTCAGGATCTGCTCTAGGAGTGACAAGGTCCCAGTACACAGGAGTTGAAAGCCCCAGAAAAGTTGGTAGTTCCACAGGGATCTGTTTATTTGTCCATCTGTCTATCTAATTATTCATTCGGGCTTGTTATTTCCGTGTAGGCTCCTGGCATCTGTTTCATTTGCTGCTTCTGGAATATGTGATTCATATACTTCAGTCATGCATTGAAGAGGAAGAGGATGACGACGACATGGGAAATCTCGAAGAAGTGCTACCAGATGACCAGCCTCTTGTCCAACCAGACCAGGCACCTTTCCACCCTCCAGATTCTTCACCAGTTCAGGAGCATGACAGCCCATGCGTGGATCCACATCGGGTGACGCTGGAGCACATAGGCCAAAGCCGATGTCCCATGGGTGTGAACAGTGTGTTTCTCAGGGTCCTGGGCTTCCTGGTGGACACTGACACGGGCGATAAGGTATAGACACAGGGGCAAGCTTGGCAAGGGAAGTAAGAACTATCACATGGTTAGGAAACCCATGAAGATCTCTCCGTCCAAACAATGATACACGGTTCTAGACTCATCTTTGCTTCAAGAGATTTTCACCAGGGGTGGTTTTAGTAGTTTACCTGTTAATCACTGGTCAGCAAACATTCGTGGTGCATTGACATGTACCAGGCACATGTAGAGGTGTGGAATATTTGGATTGCCTGGGTCTTGCCTTGCCAGAGCTTACCAGGCATGGTTGTGATGAAATTTGGAAGAAAGAATTCCTAAGATATCTTTGGTGCAAAAGGGTGATTTTATTATAGCATGGGACAGGACCCATGGGCAGAAAGAGCTGCACTGGTATCGTGAGGAATGACTGATTATATACTTTTTTTTTTTAATTTTTTTTTAATGTTTTATTTATTTCTAGGAGAGAGAGAGAGACAGTGTGAGCAGGGGAGGGTCAGAGAGAGAGGGAGTCACAGACTGAAACAGGCTCCAGGCTCTGAGCTGGCAGTCAGCACAGAGCCCGATGCGGGGCTCGAACCCACGAACTGCTAGATCATGACCTAAGCGAAAGTCGGACGCTTAACCGACTAAGCCACCCAGGTGCCCCTGATTATATACTTTTTAATTAGTGGAGGTTAGGGATAGGGTACGTCTCGGGAATTTTGAAGCAAGATTTTCAGGACCTTGAGGGGCTAGCTGCTGTTAAGATGAGGTTACTGTTAGTCTGTAATAAAACATAAACATTAAGTCACTAAGGCAGCCATGACTTCATTGAACAAGGTCACACTGCATGTTTCAGGTGTCTGTCCACGGGCTGCAAGCTGTAAGATTTAGCTTAAGCTACATTCCTCTTGCCTCTGTTTTCCTCAGCAGTTAGGCTAACTGAGCCAACTAAACTAAGAGGCAAGCCCTGAAACCACCTTGGCATTTGGGATTTTGAAAAGACGGAATTAGGGTACATCTTAAAAGATACAAAAATAAGAATTGCTATTTATCTAACACCTACTATACAACCTTGTTATACGTTATCTCAAAGCCATACAGCCATGCAGCAAAGTATCTGCCCTTATCATTTTCATGCCATGGCTCAAGTAAGTGAGGCTCAGAGAAGCTAAGTGACTTGCAGAAAGTCACACAGCAAGTAAATAGTGGAATGGAGATTGGAGGCCTAGCCTTCCTGATGTCCAGTCCATTCTTATCCCACAACACAAGATCAGAGGAAGGTGGTCCACGCCCCAAGGAGAATAGGACACAGCTTGCAAAGTTCAGAGAGGGGACCTTAAGTTCCAGAAAGAGGAGCCAGACTGCCAGAGCAAGCAACTGAAACTCGTCCGTTTCCTGGAGTAGCGGAGGGCACCTGGTGTAAAAAACTGTTTTAGTGCTAATTTCTAAAACTTCTATACACATGTTTGGACGTTTAGCTACTTTGCATAGTATTTCTTTTGCACCTTCAATTTCCTTCCCCTTTTGAGAAGATGAGGAGTTGAGCCGAGTAGGAGATCTCTGCAGGGGCGTTGCCCTTCACCTGAGTTAACCGTGGTCTTGACCGTGGGAATGAGTCACAGCCTGAAACTGTTCAATGCCCTACAGTCTTCACAATAACCAGAGCCTCCCAGGGACCTTTCCTTCCCGAATAAACCCTCGTTCCAAGTACCCCAGAGTACAGAGAACCCTGGTATTGAGCACTACTCAGAACACCATATTAGACAAAAATAATATGAGCCGGAGTGAAAGAAATGCATGTCAGGTTTACAAATTCTCTGGTTTTGGTCTTTGTTTTCTTATCTTGCAATGGCAGGTTCATACATCCGGTGGTCTTTGATGCTGTTGGTGGGGTAGATTCAGATGCGTACCTTTAAATAAGAAACTCCCCTCCTCTGTGAGTGTGTATGTGAAGCAGGCATGACAGATAGGCATGAAATAGTGACCTACTGGCCTCAAATCAGGGACTCAATGGTGGAGGCAAGGAGAGCTGGGCCCCATTAGGAAAGGAACAGCTGGGGACACTCAGGGCATCGCTCATGAGCTGGTATTTCAGGGCTGCTGGCAGAGAGATGGCCCTGTTAGACCTGAAGAAGGGACCAGTTGGCCAGGCTGTGCCCGGGAGAATGTCTTTCCCTGCACCCAACCCTCTGGATGAGATGCCCCGTCCTGGCAACAGGGCCTTGCAAGGGCTGCCCAGTGGGAAACCCACCTGAGTACACTCTGGAACATTCTATGAAGTCCTAGCAGGACAAGGAATTGTGCTGGACATTCAGCTCCAAGTGTGCACATCTCTCCACTCACTGGCTGGGGAGAGAGCTAGGACTGTAGGCAATTTGACATGCCCCTTGGTCACCAGGGTAACCAGGAGTAAACTTTGTGCTGGGCATGTAAATGCATCATTTCAACAACACAACGAGACTTACCATCATTGCTCCCGGTTCACAGATAGCATAACTGAGGCTCATGAAGGGTTGAGTAACATTCCCAAGGTCACCTCACTAGTTACTGACAGAGCAGGGATTCAAACCTTCATAGATCTCCTTACAGAAGTGTCTCTTCCTAGCACCCTCTCTCTCCCCAGAAGCCGCTGCCATGCGCTCTAATTCCAAAAGCATTGACAGGAATACATTAAACATACCTTCAAGTCTGATGATTCGGGAACATTAAGTGGACAGTCTAGTATGTAACTTCCTAGACAGGATTCAGATTCCCCCATCTTCCACTTCAAGGCTGAGAACCTTGAGCAAATGGCTTCATTTATCTATTTCTCAGTTTCTTTATCTACAAAATGGGAATAATACTATCTAATTCTGTAGGGCTATTATGAAGTTTCAATAATTCAATCATTGTAAAATTCTTGGAACATAGTTAAGTACCCATAACAATTAGTCATTATTATTAATTCTCCAATGAAACCTCCTAACCTGAGCACCTTTCCCGACACCCCACCCAATCCTCTAGCACCTCTGAAGTTCATTGCAGTGGGACTTGACCTATATTTAATTGGTGGCAACAATAGAGCAAGACATTAAATACTTAATTGAACTACATAATAAAGCAATACAGGCAGATGAATGTCAGATAATCCAAGGTAATATGCATTAGAGATTAATTAAATCTGCCTCTGTTTGTGCATGTCTGCTGAATTAGCTATAATGACTTAAACACTCTAACACTGAAAAGAAAGTTACGCTCACCTAATTTTTATTGCATTCATTATTCAGCATTTGCACTCATCATCAACAAAAAAGCACACTCTCTGTGTCCCATCTGCAATCATCTGCCACGAATTAACGCCCCAGCGGCACATCTGTGGCAGCCTCATTCGTTGAACAATTTAGTGCCGCCCTGCACCTATGATAACAACCTAAGTCAGCATTCCGGACTGCCGTATCCATATGCCACTCTTCCACATTCTAGCAATGTGCAAACTAGGAAGGTGCCAAGGAATGTTTAAGAATAAAGTAAAAAAAAAAAGAATCACACCGATATTAAATAAGAAATATTCTTTTTTAAAAACACTACACAGTTTTCACTTTAGGGCATGTACTCAAGGATTAAAGCATAGCAAAAATATTTAAAAACAAAGGACTCTAGCTCCAGGACAGAGCTACAAACAATTTTTTTGAGAGAAGAAAAACATCTGGTTGGGTGCTGATGGTTATTGTCAAATTTAGGGAGGAAGAGTAAGAAATATTTTCACTAATCTTGCATCTGAAGTTGTCATGTGCCCGTCTCTGTCAAAATATATTGAATTATGGAGGCTTGGAGGGTTATGGATGAAACCAGACCAAGAAAATACATCTCTGTCAGTTTGAAAGTAATCATGTCCAAGGATTTGCTCATCTCCCAAGTACCATTGGAGCTAAGGGAAGGAAAGCAGATTATCCTTGTTTCTCTGATAGGAAGACGCACTCAGTGAAGTTAGATGTATTAGCCGAGAGCAGGCACTTAAGCTAACATCAGAAATCTGTGATTCTCTCAAACCTCTTACTACCCAGCTGAGTGTTAAATTAACCAATGACTATTATCATGGTTCCCACCCCCACCATCTTATTTACTGTACTGGCATGCTTGATGGATGGTGGAGGGAGGATCTATGTGGGAATTTGAGCCAAGAATACAGGGATTGGTCTCCATCTGGAAAGCAGCCACAGTGATGAGCGTTACAACCACATGGAGCTCCACGGACATTTCATACGTTTCTTCCTGAGTTTCACAACAGATCCACGCTCTCCCGTGCCCTTAATGGGAGAGTGTTGGCTTGATCTCAGGGTCAAGGTCCCCAACAGCTGCAGGCCCATTCCTTTTCCTAAAGACGGCCCACCTGCCTCACCCTCCACGGCTCCTCTCTTGCACCACCACAGGGTTGAGATTCCCTCTCTGAAGTCCTCACTGGGCCCTGAGCAGTCCTCAGAGAAACTGGGATCTGTAGTAGTGGGATAAATAAATGCAGTAAATAAATGCAATAAATAAATGCAGGAGCTACTGGTCAGGTAGGGTGAGGGCAGGGTAGAGGAATTCAAATAGTGGGTCTTGCAACAGGAAGTCACGTAACTTCTCTTTTTATCTTTTCCTTGTAACCGGTCCCCCTTGCAGCTCATCCAGGTATTGTTGGAGGACAAGGTCGCCGAAAGCGCCATCGAACTCAGCCTTCCTGTGGGACAAGAGGCCCTAGTAACCCTAAAAGATGGACAAAAATTTGTAATTCATGTGTCAGATGTACCCTAAAGCTCTGAAAATGTTTTCTTCTGGGAAGGCAACTCTAATACATGAGACGATTTATTAGAATAGGACAGGAGAAAACAGATTTTTGCCCTTAAAAATGTATGAAACGCTAAAGCTTTTGTATTGATAAGAAAGAAGACTTTATGTACATAATAGAGGTAGCATTGTCTGTTTTGTGTTTATGTGTGTTTCAAAGAGTTAGTTTTGGCGAATCATATAAACTGATTTGGAGAATATTTTTTGCTTCTGTTGCTTTTTTGCAGGGCTTTTCGAGTATTTTTACTGGGGACGTATCAGAAGAGAAGTTTGGGAAATCTTGTGAGTAGAGAAATGGAGAGATCTCTAGCAAAAGATAAAATTTGAAGAATACAAATGGGTACAACCAGTAAAATGCCAATGGTAACATTTTTCTTCCCCTTGGTAGTGCCCTGATTGAAACAGAATTTGTGGAAAGATCTCCTCAAGCAGTAAGGAACAAAATGCTATTTCATACCAACCTTTATGCATTGGCCCATTAAGAACATTCTTAAAGTGGAATCGCATTTGGAACCCAACAATCTCTGCAACAAATGATGATGCCCTGCTTTGAGTCACTTTTTATTTCTCTCTTTGTTGCAGAATCCTAAGAAATGTTGAAACTAAGAATAGATCATTCACTGTTAAAACCAGATCAATTTTTATGTAACTGATTATAATATTTAAAACGAATTTAACAATTCATGCTTAGCATGGTTTCTGGTATAAGAGGAAATGGAGAATAGTTTATTGATCTCATGTTATATAAGAAATGAATTAAATTTCCCTAAATGCTTAGCAACTTTAAAGAAACATGAGAACTGTGTCACTAGATTTGTTAAGAATTATGCATCTTATCTCATTACTTAAGCTCTCTGGGAGTAATTGTTTACCAAAGAATAACTCCAAGATATTCCTTTGCTCACTGCTCAGTGACCTTGCATATCATTCATTTGCTCACATGTAAGCAGACAGATGGGAGACTGAGTCAAGGAACAAAGGTAGCAACAAGACATATTAGTCTGGGAACAGAGTGAATTTTATTTGCATATTTTGGGGTAAACTGATTAGCTGAGAGCTAGCAGAGCCATTTCAAGCTATTCAGTCCTTGAAAAAGCCAACCAGGTTCATCAAAGGCCAACAATCTGAATTGCTGATCTCTGGGGTTGGAAGTTAGGGTAGATGAGGGTGGGTAGTAAGAAACGGGAGAGGAAGGGGCTTCTGGGACCCTCATAGTGTTCCAATCTGTCTTTCAAGTGTGTTCACCTTGTGAAAATGTGTCACAGAGCTTATGATTTGATTTAATTTTCTGCTTTATGTTGTGTATGAAAATGTATTTTTTTACACTTATTTTGAGAGAGAGAGAATGCACGAGCGGGGAAGGGGCAGAGAGAGAGAGAGAGAGAATCCGAGAGAATCCCAAGCTGATAGACCCTGCACTGACAGCACGGAGCCTGACGTGGGACTCAGTCTCAACAACCACTAGCTCATGACCTGAACTGAAATCGATTCAGACACTTAACGATTGAGCCACCCAGGCACCGTGAACATGTATTTTTTAGAGACAGAAGGCATCACAACACATTGGGGATAGCATTGGAGGTTCCTGGTGGGAGAATGGCTAAGAAGCACACAGAAGGATTTCAGGAGAAAGTGAGCCAGCTTGGAATGCCGTCAGGGCCAACAAGCACCCATGTGACAATGGAACCACACCTGCCTTGTACGTCTCTGTTTTTCCGTTTCCATCCACCCCACTGACCACCTGATGCAGGAGGCCAAGCAAGAAGAGAGAATCTCCCCACATCCATCTCCCTCACTACAGGCCTCAAGATCCAATACAGTTCTCAGCCAGGACAGAGGAGAAGCTTTTATCCTTAATAAGTTTTGATGTTTTGATGATTACACTGGATTGGGCATTTTAATCACTCATCAGAGATGGTTCTTGTTTCTTTCATGGCAAATTATGCTCAGAGACTGATATTGTCTTTGCCAATAATTTATTTAATGCAAGTTCACTGTGGGAATTATAATTTATAATAATATGTCACAAGCCAATAGCATACAGGATAATGTCTCTTCACGAGCCAATCAAGAAATAATAGAGTCCAAACCAGATAGATTAATTATACTACTGTTCCAGGCCAAGGGGAGATGAAAGAAAAAAGGACCAGATTTAATTGAGGTGTACCTTTCTGCAAGTTGGGTCTCAGGAGAGACGGCTTAGCCACCCAAGAGCTGACGGCCTGCTGGCACAGATTAAAAGTACCTTGTTGCTGGAGCACAAAGCTAGCAGAGTGAAGAGGCTGGTGTTTATGGGCAAGAGGATCTCTTTCATGGGGCCGTTGCACGGTTTGCACCACCTCCAGCAAGGACTAGCCTCATCATGGCAGGAGCTGATGTCCCAAGGTCTCCAAAGAGCTATTTAGATCAGCCAAGAGTAGCCTTGCTCAGACAGAACGCTCTTGGTAAGTCTTCACAAATTCTTGGCATTAAAGGTTTCACATCTATAAGCACTCAGTAGCACAACAACTTGGGGGACATCATTCTGACATGGCCTCCCCCTAAGATCAAGACAACTGCACTTAAGCCGTAAAGAAGTGGATTTGAAATCATAACAATGCACAACAGTTGTTACTATTGAAAGCAACTGGTGGTCAATTATTTGAACGTGAACACGAGCATAAATAGCCACTGCCTCTAGCCCCTTCCCCAAACCTGGGTTTTTATCCAAGAGCCAGAAATAATTCATAGAGCAAGTGACAAAGGTTGTCCTCTGCTTGAGCCATCTGTCACTTCACAATTTCAGCATGATAAACTAATCCTTAATGGCTTAAAACAGCCACAATGTATTTATTATTCTTTACAAGTCACCAGGTTGCTTGGACGGTTACGCTGATCTGGGCTGGACTTCGTGAACCTCAGCTGGGCTTACTCAGCCATCTGCCACAGAGGCAATCGTATTTTCTGAAACAGTAATTTGAAGTAGAAATAATAATGAGACCCTGTACAAACAAATCTTCCCAGGGCGCATCACTGTTGTCAATATGGTGCTTGCAGAAAGACAAGCACATCAAATAGCACATGGATCTTGGAACATTAAATTTGCACTCAACGATGATGTAAAATTGGAAACCTACTAATAATCTGGCAGCAGACAGATCTTGTAAACGCAGAAGTTTGATTTAAAATGTATAGCGATGTGTTCTGAAATTAAATACTTGTCATGTGTATTCTTTTACCAGGAACTCTTAAAGCATTGGGGATCATCAACAGGCAAATCCCTGCTCCTCAAGAGTTTATACTCCTGGTAGAAGACCAACACCGAAGTAGATAACAAATAAAACCCTGATATCTTAGGCAGTGATTACTAAGTATAATAGTAAAAATAACACCCAATAAGGGAAATCATGATGGCGAGGCAGGTGTTACTTCATACGGGGTTCTCAAGCAAGGTCTCTTTCATAAGGTGTAATCTGAAAATTAGATCTTGGGGCGCCTGGGTGGCTCTGTCGGTTAAGCATCCGGCTTCAACTCAGGTCATGATCTCGTGGTTCACGGGTTCGAGTCCTGCATCGGGCTCTGTGCTGACAGCTCAGAGTCTGGATCCTGCTTCGGATTCTCTCTCTCTGCCTCTCTCTCTCTCAAAAATAAACATTTAAAAAAAATCTGAAAAGAGATCTGAAGAAAGTAGGAAAAAAGAAATTGTGAGAGCCTCCTGAAGGGTGGGAAATTGAGTAGCACTGCCAGGCAGCCCCAGCAGCCTCTTGAAGTTAATGGCCATGAATTTAAAATGATTAAGGGATTTAAAATCAATATTGGTGTCCAGAAATTTGGCAAGCTAGTTTATTTGAACTAACTCACCAGGTGAAAACAGCTATACGTGTTGGAAAAAATATAAAACGTCTTCTTAAAAGTATCAAAAGGAAAAAAATCTCCAGGTCAGAACCTAAGAGAATGTGGAATTTTGTGTGGCAAGCTAAGCACCAAGGCTGCTTTTTCCAATCCACACAACTTTGAGCTTCAGGTTTGAAGAGAGCAGTAGTCAAATACCAGAAGCCAGCCAGGGTAGGAAGTCTAATAGTAGACCTCATAAATTGGAACATCCAAAGTGCTATACACTCCAGGTAAGGGTGAGTAGGAAGCAAATGTGCCCCTTCTTCCCACCCCATCCTCACTCCCCATGCAGGAGGTGACAAATAAATTCACTGAGTGTATCAGGATCAGGAGAAATCTGTTGCGCTCTCTTCTCCCTTTCTCCCAGGCCCTAGCAACCACTCGTTTTATTGAGATTTTATTGTATGGATATACCACATTTCATTTATCCATTCATCATCATTTGATGGGACATTTAGGTGGTTTTCCCATAATGGAAACATGAATAATTTCATTTCCACTTGAATAATGCCTCTGTGAACACTGATGTACAAGTTTTTGTGTAGACATACCTTTTCATTTCTCTTGGGTATATATATACCTAGGAATGAAACTGCTGGTTCATATGGTAACTCTATGTTTAGCCTTTTCAAGAACAGCCAAACTATTTTCCAAATGGCTATACCATTTTATATTTCCATCAGAAATGAGTAAAGGTTCCACATTTTCACCAATATCTATCATTTGCCTTTTTGATTATAGGCATCCTAGTGGGTGTGAGATGGTATCTAATTGTGGTTTTTATTTGCATTTCCCTAATGACTAATGATGTTGAGCATTTTTTCATGTGCTTATTGGCCATTTGCATATCATCTTTGGGAAAATGTTGGTTTAGATCCTTTGCACATTTTTAAATAGGTTTGTTTTTGTTTTTGTTTTTTGGTAATTGACTTGTAGATGTTCCTTGGATATTCTGATTACTAGTCCCTTGTCAGATACAGGATTTGCAAATGTAACAGTAAATACTGCAGTATGTCTCTGTAACGGAATTTTTTACAGAGCCAAAACTGCTTCATCACACCTAATAAATAAAACAACGTTCTTTCATATCATCTAAGACTTAGCCCACATTCAGATTTCTCTACTTACCTCAATAATGGCTTTTAACAGTTGATCCATACCTTGTACTTCATCTTATGTCTCCTAAATATTTTCATATCTATAATCATACACTTATAATTTTTTATTCCATTTATTTGTTGAAGAAACTGGGTCATTAGTACTATGGAGTGTTCCACATTCTGAATTATATGGC